TTTGTTATCTTTTCAAAGTGAATACATTAAAAGTTTAAAATAACAATATATAAATAATAAATTAATATTTTTAAGTGTATCATTCAGTCATAAAATATGAATATAAAACTTAATTATTTTATTTATTTCACTTCAGGTTCGGTGAAGAAAATAGTATCAAGGAAAAGAAAATTGGTTAAAATTTTGACTAATATTGCAACTGAAACTTTAAGTGACTCAGTATCACAAAGACTTGATCAAGCCCAATCCCTATCAAGAAATAAAGACCTTTTGGAAAACTTTTATTTGTTAAACAAACAAGCGCAGACTTTCTTGTTTATGCAATTAAAACAAATTCATAAAAGCAAAATGGCCAGAAGGTTTACCTTAGATGAAAAATTAATGGCGTTGCTCATAATGAAACAAAGCCCCAAAAGTTATAAACTATTAGAAAAAATGTTTGCCTTGCCTAGTAAACGGACATTAAATAGACTTTCTGAGAAGGTTTCAATACAACCAGGACTCAATCCATTAATATTTGAACATATATCAAATACAACCAAAAAATGGGACACTAAACAAAAGCTATGTACAATCGTTTTTGACGAAGTCTCTCTAACACCACATTTAACTTTTAATGAAAAAGATGATATAATTAATGGGTTTGTAGATATAGCTGGAGAGAGAAAACTGAAATATTGTGATCACGCTTTAGTTTTTATGCTAAGAGGAATATGCTCTCCATGGAGACAGAGTGTAGCATTTTATTTCTGTGAAGGCACAGTATCAGCAGCAGAGCTGCAATGCATTTTAAAACAGATTGTGCCCCAAGTGATACGAACTGGGTTAATACCTTTAGGTCTTGTTTGTGACCAAGGGTCCACATTTCGAACAGCAATAAGAAGACTTAGGGAAGATACAATTCGTAGGCGGAATATTCAAGGTGTTCATGATGGTGTGTACCATTATTAATTACTTAAAAACTAGTTCTACTTCATGACAAATATTATATATTTTAATTATTTTACAGATGGATCGGTTAATATTGCAGATCACGATTTAAGCATATTTTTTGACCCACCTCATCTCTTAAAGGGTTTAAGGAATAATTTTTTAAATAAAGATATAATTTGGGAAGAAAAAACTGCCTCTTGGAAAGATATTGAGTTCATTTTTGATTTGGATAGCAAATTGGGGCACACAAGGGCACTACCAAAGTTAACGGCTCATCATGTTGATCGCCAAAAGATCAAAAAAATGAAGGTCAGCGTAGCTGCTCAAGTATTTAGTGCTCGAACTGCTGCTATGCTCAAATATACAAATGCACTCAGTAAGTAACGATTGCTATATTGATTTGTAGGCTTATTCAATTTATGTATATACTATTGTAAAATTTGACCAGAAGTCTCAATTTGTAAAAAAATCAATTTGTAAAAAAATGGTTAAAAAAGTCTGTTGTTGTAACCAAATAAGAAGTGTCTTTTTGGCGAAAGATTTGCAGGTACAACTGTAAAAGAAATTAAATTAAAAAGTACTTTTTTCTTTTCAGATTATTTTCATACTGCAAACTCTGACGCAACAATGGCCACAACAGCAGAAGTTGTTGAATTCTTCGACACACTGTTTGACAGCGTCAATGGCTACCCGGGTGGTGTGCAAAGAGGAAAGTTAAGACGAGCGGTTAAACAAAATTCACAACATCACACTTTTTGGATTGAGGCCATTAATAAAATTAAAAAAATGGTTTTTGTAGACACCAGTAGCAAACATGCTACAAAAGCAGGAAAACCTCGACTTGTGCGAGTGCCATCCCAACAAGGATGGATTACAACTCTTGAAAGTTTTATAAGGGTCTCCAAATTGTTATTTGAACAGTATAATGTAGAATATTATTATCCGAGGAATATTAATCAAGACCCATTAGAAAATTTTTTTGGCCGTATAAGAGCTATAAATTATAGAAATGTTAACCCAGATGCAAACACATTTATATATGCCTTTAAATCTTTGATGTTATCTAACATGCTTAGTCCACATTCCAAATTCTCTAACTGTGAAGAGGATAATGGAGAAACATTATTAAATGTTAGTCTTCTTTTTAAAAACCTTCATAATAATAAAGAAAATGACTCGGAAAACACTGTCAGTATTTCGCGAGATCTCCCATCTTCTTCACAAGCAAGTTCAAGAGAAAAGTTGCTGGTGAATGATGTAGTCATGGAAAAAATCAAAGTCCACTGCTCAGCTTACACTGCTGGATACATTTGTCGGAAAATAACGAGAGCGATTCGTTGTAAGGATTGCATCAAAACATATATTAGCAGTACGGAGACAAACATTCACTCTTACATTAAATTTAGAGAGTATAAATTGTTAAAAAATAATAATTTGGCATACCCTAACGAAAAATTCCTTATCTTGTACAGGGATGGTACTCACTTTATTCATAACTATTTGAATTATAGCTGTATTGGAAGTAATATAAAAAGTAATTTGAAAAGAAAAATATTGAGCACTTTGAGTTTTTCCTGCCTAGGGTGTGATAAGCATGCCTTAATTGTAAAAAACTTTTTCACCAATATTTTAATTAGATTACATGGACACAATTGGTGCAACATAAACAATAAAATATTGAAGGGTGATATTGATGAAAAATATGTATCTAAAATGGGTGAACCCCAAAAATTGGCCTTAAAGAAGTATAAAAGTCTTAGGTTAAGAAAAAAATGTTTAAGTAAATAAAATGTTGATGAAGTGACGACCTGGATATGCAGGTGGCTTAGGACCGTGCTTTGTGACATTTCTTGGGGGAGGCCTACGTTTAGCAGTGGACTTGTGAAGCGCTGTAATGATGACGGTGGTTAAATAGAATGTTCGGATTCCTGAAACGTAAACTCTGTTTCAGGTCCCCGCAAACCAAGTATATAACGAGGCGATATTGCGAATAGCTATGTTGTGTGTGCCGGACAGGTACGTGTGGTGCCGGAAGCGGCCCCCACCATTCGAGACACCGCGCGCACGTACCTTCCAAACGAGGCCCACTGACCCGAGTGCTGCACACTAAATAAAGTAGCTCAGGATGTAGATTTATTCTGCTGTTCCTTGGGTGAATTTACCTAATTGACATTATATTATGTATTATGTTATAATAGTAGATAAGTTGTGTTCTGTCCTTATTAAATTAGATAGTTTTATATGCCTACACTGTCGTATTAGGTACGCCTGTAAAGACAGAGGTAGAAATAAATAAATAAATAAATAAAGTTACTCCCTAAAAATCTCTGGTCTGTAGCAACCTAGAATATGCTTCTATAGCGCGGAGTCGATTTTATGCTACATTACGCTATTAGCATCTTGAGCATACTTGTTATTTTTAATGTTGATGTCGATATTTGTTTATTTTTCAGATGCTTATCATGGAACAACCTCCAAGTGAAAGTACCAACACCAAGGAGATAAATGTTCTTTTTAAAAGTAATTTATGTTACCATATAACTTAGTTATATGATAATATAGATTACTTTTTAATTACGATTATACTAAACTGTCGTTAACAGTAGCCATACAGAGTTAATACATACAATATAAATGTATACATTATATATTTATTCTTTAATTTTGGGTTTATGTATAAGAGCATAAAATTCACAAATATTGTTTGTTTTCAGGAATAGAAATCTGATGTGAAAAGCTGATGTGGTGAGACAAATGTTGCCAGAAGATACAAAATGTACACATTGGCAAAATGGTATGATAAATTCAGTTTATTCTTATACATAATTAAGCAAAATTTCAACATATCTATTATATCTATATTCAGCATATCTATCCTCAAATCACAATAAGAATTCTTTATTCTTCATCTAATCTAAAGATTACAGTTCCACTACACTTTAATGGTTTTATCAACAACTCCTTTAGTATTAAGTTTACACTAATTTGGAACTCTGTGCCTGAAGACATTGAGAAAGCTCCTGATAATGGATGTATACAATGTAAATATTTATATATTTTTTATTTCTTATTTACTGCATCTATCACTTTATTTTCACCACACCATGGCTGACCGAAAGAAAATGCCAACTGCCATGAAGCCCTATTTTACCTTAATATGAATAATATATGATTTATGATTATCATTCAGTCATAAAATATGAATATTGGACTTTATTTTTATTTATTTCTTTTCAGGTTACGTGGTGAAGAAAATGAAATAAAAGAAGAGATGTTAAAATTTTAAAAAAAGGTTGTAACTTGTAGGTGAACAATCCTCACAAAGACTTGCTTAATGTCCAATCTATTTTAAAACTGTAGAGAACTATTTGAAAACCTTTATTTTATGTTAAACAAATAACTTTCTTATTAATACAATTAAAATAATTTTGTAAAAAAAATGGCCAGGCCAAAAAAGTAACTTGAAAAGTAAAATATTAAGCACTTAAATATGATTCATGTGGTTTAATTTGCTTTATTTAATGAACTATAAATATTGCTCTGTTTCTCGTCAAATTGTACTTATTTATGCACAATGTTATGTACGATTTTCTAATTTGTTTATATAACTTAATGTGCCTTTAATTTAATCCTAAAATTACGTATGTATATGATGTAGGTGTGCTTGAATAAAAAATAAATGTTAATGTATTATAAGTGTTTCATTAAGTAATATTATTATTCCTGTATAATGCACTTCTGTCGATATCGATAAAATAAGAACACCACTAAACATCGATATCGATGATTTGAAGGATGTGTGCTTGCAATCTCTAAGCTATATTTTTTTTTATTACTCATCTGTCAAAATGGGCGACTGCAGCGCCAAAACGCATAGTTGGGAAACTTGACTAAAAGTAACCAAAAGTAACTGTCGTATCTGTAGCTTGCTACATATATATTTATCTATGGTGCATACCACCAAAAAAAAGAACTTTTTAACCATCTTGATGAGCAATAAAACAAAAAGTTTAAAACACGATTTTCAAGGAAATAATGTATTAACCTAAAATTAATATCACAATTAATCAAAGTAAATCATAGAAGTAATCGAGGCCTTGCCCCAGCTCCCATATCGCCACGCCTGTGCCATACTCTCGAGCAAGATCCAGTCTCTTTTGTATGGAGTACAAAGTGGGAAAGAAAATCTTTTTTGCGCCTTGAGAAGTCCTGCAAAAACAAACTTTAAGGTGGCACAAGTCGCGGGCTCGAACTCGCTGGTGGGCGCGGCCAAAAAGCACGCTGTCTCACCTGGCATCGTGCCCGACAGAGATAGTATCAGTGATGAGCATATCGACACTAGTATTCACGCACGTCTTGTTCGTACGGCATTTAGAACCGTTTGAACAAAAACGAAGTTACACGAACACGATGCAACATCTAATACTAATATAATAAAGCAGAAAATATAGATCTTTACTCCGTCTAAAAAAAAGTCCGCGATACCATATGTCTATTTTTTATATATAAGTAAGCCACAATTAGGCATTTTGATTTTGACAAAAAAAAATGAAAATTTAATTATTAGGCATGGCATATTTATCCTTACGAACGAAAGTTACTTCATTATCAAGACAATTTTTTGAGGGTTCGTTCTTTATACCATGTTTATATAGTAAATAGTTTAAGAGATAATGTAAAATTAAAATAATTCAATACTTGGCCTTGACGCGCAAACAACGCATAACGCGAACTGAGAAGCCAGTATTGAAAGCTTCTATGAGCGAGGTTAGGTTAGCCGTTAGTTCAATCATTATCTATAACTACACAAATAAATAAAATTGAAGTGTCTGTTTGTAATGTCAAAATAACAGCTTTTTACTAAATGCATATGAAATTATATACGCTACTTACTTATAACATTTTAACATTTTATGTATGTCTGTCAGTCTGTTTGTTCCGGTTAATTTCCAAAACGGCTGGACCGATTTTGACGGGACTTTCACTAGTAGATAGCTCATGTTATAAGAAGTAACTTAGACTGCTTAAATTTAAGAAAAAATATTAGGTGTCCGTGCAACAAAATTAACACCCTAAACTAAATGCGCACGAGGTCGCGGGGAACAGCTGGTAGCTAAAATAAATTCAAAATTAACTGAGTGCTTTTATCTATCTCCCAGGTGAGCGTAACAATGATTAGTTACATCATTATTTCTGAACTCTTTCATTTCACGTTGCTATGGTATTTTGAAAGTTTAATTGATTAATAAGTATAAGAGGTTGATAGCAAATTTATCAAGAATCATTTCTTGCCTACACACTTTCATGTATCGTGTACGTTTTTCTTTAAAACTGGATAAAACCGCGCATAGTATGCCGACAGATAAAATAAAAGTACTCCATTAATTATGACAATTTTTCCATACATTATTATCAAATAAAATATTTAATTGCAATTATAAAATGCTTGAACTAGGTGTCATGTCATGCCACGCATCTCGGACACGTGATGACGCGCGTGAAACCGCGAAATTATTAGGCGCTGCTTTATCGCTTCATATTATACCTCTGTGGCTCTATATACCTAATATAGATTGCTTACTTTATTATGTTTAGTTTTTCCCGAGTGGTCATGCAGCGATCACTCAAGAGTTCGGCTTCGAACGTGTGTAACTGCAAAAATTATCCAACGGGAACGAAATACCTGAATAAACGGTATCATATTTGTTATTTACAGCTCCGTGGCGCAGTTGCTTAGCAATGAATTGTTGCACTGGGAGCCGCGGGTTCGAATCCCGCACGGAACAAGTATTTGTATGGCCTGCAAATAGTTGTTCCGGGTCTGGATGTTTGTAAAGTGCCTCCACGATACAGGAGAAAATCCTAGTGTGGGGGTAACGTTTTTTCAAAAAATAAAAAAATAATAAAATTCCAGACTATAACCTATCTCTGAGCAAAATATCATCCAGGTCCCTTCAGCGGTTCTGGTGTGATTGAGTAACATGCATCCATTCATCCGTCCATCCAAATATCCAAACTTTCGCATTTATAATATTTAGATAATAATTGTAATTAGTTCTGCCTACCTATAAATTGTTTTCAAAAATACTTACCTGTCTTCTTACTTTTTTATATATACTCAATATCACTAAACGTAAACACAGGTTTTTATCAAGACAAGTGACCCATCAAGATTGTTTTCTTAGTACTGACGTACCTACCTAAAGTTTACAATTTTGTGGCCACGACGCGGTGACGTTTTGTGACATTTTGTTGTATTGTAGGTTGTAGGTATCTAGGTAATAACAGTAGGTACCTATGAAAATCCCACATAATATACTTTGTTTTTCCACCGCAAGAGTCGTCTAATAAATAATTAAACTGTTTTGTAATTCTTTATTTATTTATAACACTTGCATTGAGAGCCGTGGTAGCTCAGATGGTTAGCGCTCGCCGTAAGTAAGTATCACATTACGCGAGCATCCCGGGTTCGATCCCCGTCGGCACCAATGAAATTGTTGCAATTTTATATAGTAATCGTATATAGACTTTAATTTTTTTTACTTTTATAATTATATTATATTACAGACAAAAATTTTACAATATTGTCTGTCGTCCAAAACGCATCATCTCTTTCAATTATATCAATTTCCATGCTGTCTTTTGTCTTTGGCGTCCAAATTACAAAATAGCAAAACTTTTCGTTTCGAATAAAACTCGCGTCGTCCTCCCGCACCGCACCGGGGGAAACATTATTCAGTGAGATGCACGATAATTCATAGTAACATACGCGCGTAAAAAAATACGAAAAGGCCTTTGGAAGAAGGGGTTTTGTGAAAAAACCACTGCATAAATCAATTACGAATAAAATTTATTGAATTCTTCGATAATTAAGCTGTGTCGGTACCGACTTTGTTTTGGAAATTTTACACTTCTTTTATTACTAATTTACGCCCAAAGTTGTGTTAAAATTGGCAATAAAAACGAATCTTTGGTAGCCCGTAACTTTTTAATAACATTTTATTTTACTATTCTGTTTCCGTACAGACAAATTTAATAATAAGACAAAACGATATCATGTTTAACTTTGGATGTACACTGTCAAACAGCGTAGTAAAACCCCTCCGAAATTTGTATGGAAATCAATGGAAATATTGTCGACTAGTGTCACCTTAATACAATTTTCTGTTCTACTAATTTGGAGATGGTAGTGGAAGAAATATACTTGTCTCTGTACTATTGTTTAATAATTTGTTTCCGCGGAAGTGCTAATGGCCCGCTTAAACTTTTATTTTCCTATGTTAAAAAATAACAAAAAAAAGATTTAAGTTAATCCATTTTCCACGTTAGGATCTGTGCGCCAAATTCTATACAAATATGTTTAACAAACTTCAAAAATTTTACAAATAATAATATACTTTCACAAATAATAATATGATATGGTGATTTTATGTAATTTTGTTGTTGATCTCTCAAATCAATAATTGTACAAGTTGCTTAAAAATCATCATTTAGGTTGCTTGGTTAGAAATAATCTCCAAAATTGAGATAATTTCGGATTGGAAATTGGCTTATGAGAATCCACTGCTCCATATCATCCCATAGGTGTAAGAGGGTAAGTTGCAAGAGGAAAATGAAAGAGTAAGTAGGCGGCGGCATTATAACACACATAACAAACTGCGGTGGCCAAACTGCCTGCCAAGCATGGCAATATTGGCAAATATTTATCTATGAGGCAACCTAAGGAGGATGCCTATGTTCTGCAGTGGCTTTTGATTGGCTGTAACGAATGAAAGAATGAATGAATACCACAAGCATATCCGTAGGCGTATTACGTATCTTGCAGAAGGCAACCACTAGGCAGCGCTGTTACTAGTTAGCTTCGTTATCGCTGATATATAATACGAATCTGCGATTTATCAGCAATTATTGTTCTAATTTCGCTATCGTTAGCCTTCTGCAAGATACGTAATACGCCTACCGGAGTCCTTAATACCTAAGATGCTACTGACACACTTCCAATCATCACCATCAGTAGTTGCACTGGGTATCTTACTGGTTCTCAGGACACAGAAGTTTTTATCGGAACCAATGGTAAAAGTAAAAAATTAAATAAGAATTATTTGTGATCTATATTGAATAAAAAATATTGTATTCTAGTATTTCATTCTTCAGGAAAATATTTATTATCATCAATATTTTGGAAACTTACCTGACTTCGATATAGTTCTCTGCAGTATTGTTATTATATGTGAGAGCTTGATTAGTTTTGGCATTTTTCAAGAGCTCTATGTATTCAGTTCCAACAATTGGCCCTCCTCCATTGGCTGTGTATGAATTCCCATAAAAGTTTAAGCCTAATAGAATTTTAGATCTCTTTTCAGGATTATCATCATTATCTATCAATTTTTCGATGCACAGTCTCATCCAAAATAAAGGTGCATTGGGACCTATAATACAGAATTATGAAAATTAGCATCTATTTCTTCTAGAACTATTCTAGATGATAAAATATTTTTTACATCATAAAGTAAAAATAATGTATCTATTGAATGATACATTTTAAATTTTATATCTTTTCTTTTACCCTAACCTGCTTTGAAGGTAAGAGAATGACTGGAACCTTGAAGATGTAGTTTGTTTTGGTTTTGGAACCTTTTGTTTTCAATCACATCTCCTTCAAATTTAGTTTTCTTTTCAAGAATGCACAAGATACAACTTTTTGAAAATTTAATTTTGTTTAATTTTAATCATTGTAAGATAATAAACAAATTCATAATCTACCTTCATGAGCATCGTCAGCAGGGTGCAAAAGGGCGCACTTGCAACCCCCTGTCAGGAAAGAAGAAAATACATGGACAAACTGAAGGCTCTAGGTTGCTGTCCAAATTTGTTCATCGCCTTGTCAATAAATTCAGTATCCTCTTTCTCTGTGTAAAGTGACCATGTCGCATGGTAGCGGAGATTCTCCGAGCAATAATGCCAACCATCGACTACAGAGATTAAGTATGTTTTCAATGAGCGAAATATATTCAATCAAATACCTACACGATTTGAATTTGACATTACATTTATCTACTTAATATACATGTATAATTATATATTTTATATTAGTTAATAGTATAAAGTGTAAATGCAGATGCACCTCCCTGAAAGTAATCCTGGCGGCACCCATATCTACCATAAAAGTTTTTTATATTATTTGTACATAACAATTGTATAAAAAAGTAGATGGAACAAAACTTACCTAGAATATAAAAACTATGCATGTCTTGATTATTTAAAAGACAAGAACAAAACATATAAAGGACTGACTGCAGCGTACCATGTAATAACACATGTGGAAGCATGGTCACTTCTTTCTGTTCAGGTCTGCATATTATAGTTTATTAACAGACTAACCTGGTTTTTGAGGGTTTGAAAAATCATAAGTCATCACTGACACTGCTTCAACATATGGATAGATTTCATTGAGAGCTTGAATAAAGAACTCGTCACTAGGGTATGCACGGAATGGTGGGTAAACTAAAATCAGCTTCAACGCATCTTCATTCATTCCTAAACCTGTAAGTGATAAACTTTGCTTGAAACACATATATTTGGTTAAAAAATTGATTAAGCCATGTTGGTGACTGCTACTTCACGTCTTAGTACATATTTTGCAAGTGAGCAGGAAATAAATATTAATGGAGCCACTCAAGCTCCTGTGTGATTGCAATACCAGAAATCCAGTACTAATTCTTGAAACACAATGTACTTGTAACTGTAATAATTATTCTTTAGTAATATATGGGACAGAAAGAAAATTAATTCAAAATATAGTGAAAACTCACCAAAATTCTGAATAAACTTCACAGATTTGTCAATGTACTTTCCAATCTGAGAGAAAAGCTCAAGGACTATTCCATCAAACTTCCATTGCTTACAAGCTTTTTTCACCTCATCAATCAAAGCTTTTTGCTCTGTATGTGCTGTAGGCTCTATAAAGAAGGCTTTAAGGTCGGATGGCTGCCAATTTTCGAACAGCAGTCGAGGGAGTACTGTAATTATGATTAAAGAGGAAAAATAAATGTATTTGTTTTGTTTCATTATCAATAACAGGGAGTACTGGTACAAAAAAAGGGTGATAAAACAAAACTACTTTATTAACTTTTATTTACAATCTAAATTAGATAAACAAATTTAAATTTGAACTATTTATATTGTCTATAAAAAGTAAGGAGTGACTTTAGTGTAATAACATAAAAAATTACAAATTTCGTTGTTGCATGTTTGTAATGTAATATTATGTACACCACCATTTATTTTATCATATATCTAATATAGTGGTTAAATTAAAGGTACATACTTTTTAAATTGCTTTGAGAGCCTTTTTGTTTCACTGATTTCATCCAAGCATGGTCTACATCATGCAAGCCAGATATTATATAAATGTTTGGAGATTGCCTCTTAATTTGCAACCATACAGGGGAAATGTAATTGAACTTAGGGGCCCATGTCTTTGCAACATCATATCCTTTACTGTTCCACTAAAATACAATATTTTATTTATGTACATTAGTTAAACACTTCTAAGCTGTATCTTTTAATACAATATTATACTATAGGCTAGGATGTTGAATGTGATGAATGTCATGTGCAGTATTTTTCTAAGACTAACAAATTTGAAACTAAGTACTCAATTACGAAAAATGTAAAACAATAATAACAAACCTACCGGTGTCACATAACCCAGAACTTGATTTTTAAAGTTTTTCAAAGCAGTGTCCTGATGGTACGTAGCGTGATACTTGATAATATCTTTTACATAAGGAGTTTCTACAACTAATTTACGGTCTAAGACGTTGTTTTTCCTAGCACCTTCCTGTGGTTTTATACCTTTATTCGTCTTTTTTTCAGGTGGCGATAAAGTAGCCAGACAAACATTAAATAAAAATAAAATTTGTATGATAGTAGTATTACACTTCATTTTAGAAAAATTTGCTATTAGTACTATAACGGTTTTATTTTAAATTAAAAAAGAAGAAAAGATGAAGAAAAGAAATTGATAATGGTACAGATGTTGATACTTGATAACATTATCAATTGTATTCTAGTAGTGGTTAAATTCTCTTTGCTTGTATTATTGACTTGACAGTTGACAGTTTTTTTTTTAATTTATTATAAAAAAAAAGGATGAGGGAATGGATTTTTTTTTTGGAGTTTATGGCCTGGTATCTAGACCTTTAGGCCAAGTCTTAAGTATTTTTATTCGGTTTATTGTAATTTCCCCACTCCTTCATAGTATACTGCTTCACAATATGTTGATGCGTCACATTGTGCAGTTCTTGGGAGATTTTGGCGGCAACTTGATCCAGCAGATAGCTGATAGTTGGCGATGGTATCTAAAGGTGCCTACGCAAACAAACAGCTTATCTTGAGAATCCATCACCATCAGAGCACTTGTTTCACTGTTTCCACTAATAGTTCACATGCGTAGACACTTAATACACAAAATCGCAACACTTTTACATATCAAAGTCCACTTCAAACCATTATTTAAACAATAATACAGGAGCAGCAAACCGCCGCCGGTCAATTTCCCGCCAAAACTCCCCATGAGGGAATGGATAGTCCTTCAGTCGACAGATTAAAATATCAGCCTAATCTGATAAGTATTTTATTCACAATTTTTTTTTATGCGATAAGGGTGACAAACGAGCACACAGTCCACCCGATGGCAAGCGGCTGCTTAAAGATGAGACGTATTTACGCTACCAGGTTTCAAACTAGGTATTCACTTCAAAGTACGGCGCCCTGGTACGAGCAAAAAATACTTGCAAGTATGAAAATACTTGCATAGGAAAATTATCCATATCTCAATAGTAGTAAGAAACTCAATCGTATTTGTGAACGAAAAATACTTAGAACTTCAAAGTATTTTATTTATTTATACGATTTTGCTCCTTATTCATAATAGGATAACATGGAAAACGGGTGAAATTCCTATGCAAGTATTTTCAAATTTTGACACTACGGCTGGACACGTCCCTCACGTCGCAATGACACGTATTTACGTTACCAGGTTTTAACTTTAAAGTACGGCGCCCTTTTACGACCAAAAAATACTTGCAAGTATGAGAATATTTGCATAGGAAAATGATCCATATCTCAATAGTAATAAGAAACTCAATAGTATTAGTGAATGAAAAATACTTTGAACTTCAAAGTATTTTTTTTATTTATACGACTTTGCTCCTTAGTCATAATAGCCTAACATGGAAATCGGGTCGAATTCCTATGCAAGTATTCTTCCTTTTATATATTACTATATTCTTTGCAAGTATTTTCAAACTGACACCGCGGCTGGACACGTCGCGTAACTACCTAGTAAGTAATAAGAATTATGTTTATATTCGAGAAAGTAAAAGTTTTGTTTCCATTTCTTGTAAATTCAATTGTTATTGGAACTGATTACGTAACCTACTGACCGTGACCTAATTTTTAAATAGTTATTTCGCGTGTATATTGAATTTAGAGACAGTTTTAAAACTTTTATTTATTAAGAGTCCTACGCCGAAAAGTAGGAAGGAAAGATTTCAATTCGTTACCAAAAAAAATTTAAAAACGTTCAGTATAAATTTTTGCCCGAATCAAATTAGGCATTCATATATATATATATATATATATATATATATATATATATATATATATATATATTGACATTAACAAATACTTTCAAGTATTTTTAAAACCTGGTTTTCGACCCTGGTATTTTTCCATACTCGTACTTAGAAGCCCTGGTATTAAATTTTGCAAGTATGTCTCATCTCTACGGCTGCTGCGGCCCATAGACATCTACATCTATCCTCTATTACAAAAAAAAAGCCTCTACTTCACGCTGGTTTTCTGTGAGGTCGTGGTACCACCCCGGTTCGAGCCGGCCCATCCGTGCGACAGCAAAAGCTGCCGCGTGGCTCTACCACTGTTACTATTTTAATTTTAATGTTAAATGTTATTTATATCTTAATTTACTATTTTAATTCCCAATCCCGGCGTTTCGGGTGTTTTACAGCAACCCATGGTCACGGGGGGGACTGAGATGTTTGACGTCCTGATGTCACAGTTAGCCCGGCTACCTGCAATTTTTTAATATTAATTTTTGGTTCGATTTACGCAGAATGAACTTACAGTATCTTGAAGTCTTGCAGTGGTATGCTTGGGTTTGGATTTTATTTTGTTAATTATAGGATCCCAAGCAGAAAGCAGCACCCATCCATCTTCTCTGTTGAAATTAGGATGATTTTTTAATTTCAATAGCCTCGCGTATCATCCTTGGTAGGAATCGGTGTTCTTTTGCGAGGATTTGTGGTCTATCAAATCTGATGTAATGTCTTGAACATGTTCACAGACTGCAGACTTCCCAGAGCGTCGGTGCTTCACGTCAGCTTTATGTTCTTTCACGCGGGTTTTAATGGATCTCTTTGTTTGTCCTATGTAAGAGAGACCACATTCGCAATCTAGCTTGTACACTCCTGCATCTTGTAGAGGGATATTACACTTGAGGGATTTTAAAAATTGACTAATCTTCTTCGGCGGCTTGAAGTATGGTTTAATAGAAGCTCGCTTCAAAATGTAGCCAACCTTGTCTCTGATTCCTCTGACATCATGACAGCCGAAACGTCGGGAATTAAAATAGTAAATTAAACGCGATAAAATCCGTAAAAATAGTTTTATTCAGCGTGTAGTGTTCGCGTAAATATAAGAAATCACTAATTAAACAGAAAATTAAATAACTTTAACGTTAATTTCAGTCTCAATAATTGCTTTGTTTATTTCTTTTAGTCGTAGACAGATGCACTTCTAAACAGTTAAATCTTATAGTTATGAAACGAACTTAGTTAAAAATCATACTAATTCTTAATAACTTTACTATTATATAGTAATTCTATTATCTAATCATTGTTCATAATCTCATTGCTAATTTTCATAATCACATAGGTATTTGTTTAATTTATTGTGTTGCGTACTCAGTAGTTACGTGGTAGACCAAGTAATTATTCATTAAACTAACGCATGGCGCTAGGCTCCTTCAATTATTTGAAAATAAAAATGATTACATAACAATTTCGAAAATCTTGTCTCGTGCCGAGTCTCGACCCGAAAGTCCCGGGACTCGAGACAACTAAAATTACGAAAAGTCCCGGGACTTTGAGACACGAGACGTCCCGGGACCCAAACTCTAGTCCTAATTGACATTCACGCGACAATCGCATCTTGTTGTCGGGCAGCGGAGTGAAGGGCAAGGACCCAACCGATACTGATTGTGAAATTCACCACGTAACGGTATCATTTCCAACAAAGCACTTTGCGACCCATTTCGTTTTATTTAATTGCTGTCAAGACCAGTAGAAAAAGTCATCTATATATTACCAGAAAGTAAAAACTGGGCGTTTCTGACGTTCATGCTTAGCGCCAATGCAATGCGTAAACTGGGAAGCGAAGTGGAACCCAGCGGCCGCTCGCATCGTCAATTCGCGCGATGATCACGTATTCGCGTTCTATTAGGACACCCAGTTTTCGTATTACGACGACACCTAACATTTGCAAAAGAAATATATCCAATAAAACATTTTTTTGGCAACTTTATTTTTTCTTTATCTTTTAATTTAGTTCTTATATAATTCAAAAATAGATCCCAGACGTTTATTATCAGGAATAAAGTATTACCAGACCTCTCCAAAAATATTTTATTAAAATTCCCAAAAAATATAACAAATATATATATAATAAAATACAATCTCAAATTTGAATCACGTATTTGTTGAGTCATTTTAATAATACGTGCCAATCGCCAGACAAATTAAGCGGTTTTAAACAATTCCGAGACGCGAATAAAGTTACAAATGAATACGACAAAAAAGTCTTATGCGTAGCCATAAGTGCGAGAAAGTTTATCGAGGCATGCTGGCAACTGATGGGGGTCCAAGCTCTTGTTCCTCCTCGTCGTGTTGGCGAACTTCACATGTTGTCGAAATATTATTTTTTCTTATTTTTCAAACATGCAGGTTTGCTTACGATGTTTACCTTCACCGCCGAGCACGTGGTCTATCAGCACTTAAAATTGCAATTAACAATTTCATTGGTGTTGGCGGGGATCCAACCCGGGTTGCTCACATACTGTGATATTAAGAGCGAGCGCTAACCATCTGAGCTACCACGGACCTAACGTGTTAGGTACCAGCTAGTCATTTATAAATCTGAAATTCATAAATTATTTATATTTGGTGTCTACAGGTGATGAAAAATTATTTAGTTTCAATTCATTTGAATTAAAAATAGAAAACAGAAGCATAAATGCAAGAAAAAACGTTGAAGATCACATTATCTTAGATTCATAAAGGATAAAACCTTCTTTCAAAAATTAATGATAAACTAAAACTTCATCCAAAAACATAAATATGAAATGGGGCCAAACTTCAAGGCTGTGGGCTTCGCAGATAAAGGAGTTGAGACCTGCACGGATGCCAAGCCCCATAACAGTTCCAAAAACGTCGTATGTTCCTACGGATCCCTCGATTTAAGCAGCTTACCCCACCGATTAATAAATAGCTGCGACGTGTTATTGTTCGACCATAATGCAAACAAGCCAGATTGATAATTATCAGCATCGATCACTAATAAAAGTGATCGATGTTTATCAGTGTTTAATATCTATCTATCTTTATATTATACTTTTTAGCGAATATGCTAGATCGCTAAAAAGTATAATATACAACAGGTAGGTAGGTATTAATTTTAATTTTGTATTAATTTTCATTAAACATAAGAAACGCAAAAAAACTATACATTAATTAAAAACATTTTTAATAGAAACAATACAAAATTGGGAAATATTTTGTACATTATCACAATTGGACCGACGCGAAGTATCCGACGACTACGTAATTTTGTGGTGCTAAGTATGCATTAGATGTAAGTATATTAATT